ACAGTCAAGGAACTCATCAGAGCTTCTAGAACATTTCTCCACAGAGTTAAATAGTTCCCATGTTTTTTTTTTTTTTCACATGTGATCTTGGTTGCATTCTATCTTAGAAAAAATGTCCTTCCCATGAACACAAGGCATGAAGGATATTGCCACCCACTGCTTCTTTCTTATTCCAGATGGGACAGGACATCTGAGCAGCTGTACTGAAAATATTTTATACATAGAGCATTCTACTAAAACTCAACATGCACTTTTGAAGGGAAAAAAACAAAAACACCAAAGGAATAACTCAGCATTAAACAATGTATTTTTTTAAAGTATTCCTGCTTATATAGTGTTAAAAAATTCAATGATGATAATTCTGAGAAACCACTTCTAGAATATAATCATTGCATTCATAACCTAATATCTACCTTTTTCTTCTTTCATATGTCTCCATTCTGTCAGTTGTATACATAACAGAAGGGATTACATTCACTTTTGGATATTAGGACTCAAAAGTAGACTGTATCCCACTGAAATTCTGAATGGCTTGGCTTCGGAATGAATCTGTTCCCTATAACTATGTTAAATATCTTACTCAATTAAAATCTTTGGAAAAAAATCACCTCAACGAAAAGAACTTTCATCAAATGAAATCTGAACCCAAGCTGGAGGTAATTCCATGTTTTTATCCCCTTTGTCAACTACAAATAATGACAAGATCCTCTATCTTAATGCTTACATAGTGTGGTAGAATTGTAAACATAATCTGTGAGGTAAAATGCAAATTGTGGAATTTACAAAGCTGTCTTCTACCTTGAAGCAAATTTGGACTAATTTGTCCTGTAACAATGAAAGTATAAGCATGAGTGCTTAGCTGTATTGTCAACTTAATGACTATCAGAAGTCTTAAGTGTTGATCATTTAGTAAAGTAAACAGTCTAAATAAAGTAAACAGTCTTTCAAAAAAAAAGACCTATATACAAAGACTCATTTACGGTCAGCTATGAAAATAGAGTGCAGCAATGGTTCAGAGAATCATAACCAAAACAAATATCTACATAGCTTTTATGTTTGTCACACTTTGAAATACTTTTCTCCATTATTTGGTATGCCCATATGTCTTATATTTGCAATGTATTGAAACAAATTTCCATTCATACTCTGATGAACATGGAGTATGTGAATTCATAGGACAACTGTACGGCACATGAAGAAAAAAAAAAATCAAGAATAAACCACTTAATACTACGAATGCTCCTGAGTAAACATTTAACTAAGTCATCTAACAATCAATGAAGATTATGCAGAAGGAAATAGCAGTTTTAGGTGTTCAATGATTATAACTAACTTTTCTGGAATCATCCTTTAAAACACATTAGCAAGATCCCTCTGGAAACACGGGAATGTGGATATTTAATTGGTAAGTTTTTCTGCTGTTGCTTTCCCTTCTATACAGAATGGCTGCTCAGTATTGAAGAATGATTATAACCTAAATGTGAACGGGGCCTCTGGTAAAGGAGGAGAGATGTCCAATAAAGAAACCACCTGCCTATGAAGGAAAAAAAAATATCATAGCACGAAACATGAATGTGAATTTAGAAGAATGTAAGATTAAAGGACTAGATTGAAACTACTGACCACTCGCAAGGAATGCAGTGCCCCCCAAAGGCTAGACACTGCCTCTGTTACTTCGTTTTTAAATGCAGCGTTGATCCGAGCTCAGGGCCAAACCTCTACTGTAATTTAACTTATTTCAAAACTGGCCTTTCCATATAACTTTGGGCAGAAAGAGAGCTTGATGAGACAGCTCGATGAGTCAACTGTTCCACCAGAGGCACTGTTTGAGAGTTGAAAAGAAACCATGCGCTGGGGTCACAAGCTTTTCCACAGATCGTTTCATTCTTTGGAAAGAAAATAAAGGTTTGGGGACCCTAGCTATGCACATGAACTGCTCTAGGCATCACTGACTCCACTTTGTGCAATTGGTTCTGGAGGCCCAAGGCAGGCTTGGGGCACGTGTATAAAGGTGACGCCCACATCCAGTTCCCAGCTTGGTCCCAAATAACTGCAATTGCTGGTTTTAATTAAGGAGGAGGAGCTTTGAACGAAATTTTTTTATATAAACGAAGGCAGTTTAGTTCCTTTTGAAAGGATGCCCCATCTTGTCTTTCTCCCGCCCTCTCTTTTGGCTCTCTGAGAGGAGAGGATAGACACTGGGCACACTTCTCTTCCTGTTTGGTTAACTCAGGCGCCTTCTCAAATGAACTGGGAAGAAAAGACAGCTCAGCTAGCAAAGAGTGCAGAAGACAGCTCAACAGACCTGGTCACCCACTGCTCCCATGCCTGTCTGGTCCCCAGCGCCTAGGATTGCACCCACCCTCTGAAGGTGCCCGGAAAGAGACCACCAAAGAACTGACATTGTGAAACGTGGAGTGTCCAGAATATGTTATTTCCCTGGGGGGACACTTGGTGCTAAGCTTCCGGCAAGCTGTTTAGGGAGGCTGGGAGTGGATTCCTTTTGAGCATTTGGAAGACCCCTGCTGGTCGCCACGCCCACCCCTGCTCTCGGTGGTCTGAGCCACCAGCCCAAACCCTTGCAGTCCTGGCGTGGGAGGGCTGCTTTGTTTAGGCTCAGGCTCATCTTCGAAGCCCACCCGTCCGCACAGGAACAAAGAACCTCGACCCTCACGACCCAGTCTCTGACTCTCACCTAACCTCCCACGCAGATTCACCACCTTCCAAAAGACCCCTTTGTCTGTCTGGCAAGAACAGGTCTGCTGAGGTTGCCCACATCTTTCCCAATTCTTCTTTTCCACCATGTACATGGATTATCAAACAATCCATTTCTCTGTAAACCACCTCATATGGTTATTTTATTTTATTTTATTTTATTTATTGTTTTCCTTTCCCCTGGAGTAGACCCCGAATAGATTTGTTGATGCAGACCAACCATTCAGCCCATTCCTTGTTAGCTTTTCCTTTCTCCCCCACTCCCCTTTGAGCGTGTTACTATAACCCTGCTTTGTACAGACTAGCAAGTCCTTGTGTGAGGATACACCTGCGTCTTGCTCAGTTAAATGCGATTACTCAGAGAGGAGTGGGGATGGTAAGAAATGAGCAGCAGGAAGTTTTGCCATGTGTTTTAGCAGCCCTGCGCCCCAGCAGGCATACAGACATACAGCTACACACACAGAAATGTTAAAGTATCTTTACTCCTCTTAAAATCGTGAGAGAACATCACAAACGAAATATCTCAGCCCCTGCAGTTTCCAACAGCTGACGCCTACGGACCTGAGAGGATTTCCGAAACAGGACTTTGAACAGAGTTGACAACCAGGTCCACATCCTCAGAAAATGCTTCCAATCCATGTCAGGAACACAAAGTTACACTCTGCTCTGGATAGACTTCAAAGGCTTAGAGGCCACAGGGAAGGAGGAAGGAAGTGAGATATTTACAGAACTTAATGGGGCGGAGAATTTGAACTGAACGTATCTTTTATCTACACAAACTCAAGAAAGAACAGAAATACAGTCTGTGAAGATACAGTTACCAGTCTTCCTAAAACTGTAGCCATGACACCCAAGAGTTTTATCCGTGGAAGAGTAAATAAGGAATTGTCCTTGTTGTACTGAAATTATAATTTGAATTAAAAACCGCAGATCTCCCAGAGGGACCCTTTCCCCGCCCTCAAAGAGTAGAGAAGCAGAGACCCATTTCTTCCTTTGTAGACTTAAACTTCAGCCTTTCAAGAAACCAGCTTTCTCTAGCATTTCCCTAGACTGACAGGACATAGAAAAAGGAAAGGACAGCGGCGGCTTGCTGAATAAAGACATCTCTCGAGTTCTGCCCACATATTAAAGGACAAGGGCATACGTTCTTTGATGGCACTTCTGCAGTCACTTCTTTGAGAGCAGCACCCGGCGCCAATAGAATTGTCACCATCACTGGGCAAGTTGATCTCACACTGGGAGAATTAGGAAACACACACACACACACACACACACACACATACACACACACACACACCCCTTCACAGAGCCTTTGTTATTTAATTCCTGACACAAACCACACACGCTCAAACCTACACACACCTTATCCCAAGAGCCACTCTACTGTCTCCATGCAGATTTCATTTATGGTTTGACTTTCTCTTATATACTGAAAACGCATTTACCCGACGAGTTGCGTCTCCTGGTGCTCCTCAGTTCTTGCTATTTCTTTTGTCTTATAAAAGATCAGCAGCAGACTTATAGTGCAGATAGTCCACCTTTTCCTAATGGAGCGCATCTTGGGAGCCCGGGAAAGTCCTGGTTGCCCCAGCCCCGGCACCTTCTCTTGATGTAAAGGCTCCGTTTTGAAGAAATAATCGAGGAGCGGAAATCTGAAAAATGCGAAGAGAGCGTAGAGACGAGATCCCAGAATCAGGTCGCTGGGGTCTTCCCCGCCAGAGCTCTCAGGCTCCTCCAGCGCTGCCCAGCGCCCTGCTGCGCAGTAAGCGCTGGCCTGGGTCCGGTCGCTAGGAGCCGCCTCGCTGGAGCTCAGGTTTCTTTTCAAATGTGACACCTTGTGCATTGGAGGTGGCGGCTGCTTCTGCAGCTGGGCTCGGGGGCGTCACTGGTCCTTCCCTCGGGGTAGCAGGGAAATGATGAGCAAGACCAGCCAATCACCGGGCTGAGGGGGCGGAGGCTGCTGTTGCCTCGCGTTGCTGGCTGCTGCTTGGTGAGTAACGTCGTGGGCTCTGACTGCACTATGCCCGGGAGAGCAAGCTCACCGTCGCAGGCACGCACGCACTCTCACGCACACACTAAAAAACCACGGACACACAGCAACACACTCACACCATCTCCTAGGACACACAAGCTTCAGGTCTCCTGATCCTAGAACGCCCAGAGGGTCTGACTGTATCAGTGTACACAATGTCCCCCAGCTGAGAAAGACTACACTCGTCCCACCAGAGGAATGCTTTGGATGGAGCGGCGAGTTGGGTAGAGAGAGGAACCGTTTAAGAGAGCGTGTTTGCAAAACATGGTATAAACGCACTCGCAAAGACACGCCCTCCGAGGTAAAGTGAAACCCAGCAAGGCAGAAGAGGAAGGACGAGGCTTATTATGCAGTGCACAATTCAATCTAGAAAATATGAATACAAGAGCCCCAATGAGATGATCTCGCCTCCAGAATGGGTGGCGAATGACGACCCGGACCAGAGATCTTGCAGTAAGCAAGTGAAGTCAGAGGTGTCTAATCTAGGAACCTTATGGACATCTATATGACCCTCTTCGTATTTCATTTGGAAATGCCTCATGAAGTCAAGGAAAGTCCAATGCTATTTAAAACTTCATTGAGGAGGACCAGCAGTCTGAGCAACCCAGACACACCTACAAACAGTTTCACAGGCCTAGGGGAGATGAAAAAGGAGGCTAACAGGACTCCAAGGCTACTCTTGAAAATCACAGTGCTATTTATCTGGATTTGAATTTAAACCATCCTCCCTCCCTGCATTTTCCTTACTTGCATTGTATTGCGTGGCTGGCGCGCTTTTGTAGTTCTCTGTTTGAGTAGCTCTCCGGTCTTACTAGTTTCCGGCATAACTGAAGAGAGCTGACTACAGGATCTTATCATACCTAACATCTGCACGTTTCCCTGGTTGAAGACAGAGCCTGGAAGACAGACTTCCCCTATCCATGTGCACTGGCCACAGGACCCTTGACTCTGGAAGCTCTTAATTACTGCTCCTTCAGGAGTTGCAGTAACTCTGGTTCTGCTCTGTGTACCGTGTTAGTTTATACATTTCCACCCTTGGAAATGGTGGTGCCCACCCCCAGTCCTTCACCTCCTGGGACAGGAGGAGTTCTCAGTTACTGCTCCTAGAACAGCTTGAAATGACAACAGACAGCACCCTTGCTTAAAAACTCAAAGTTCCACAAGCTCAGTGTTTGAGCTTATCTGCTGAAGTGTCCTGCTAGGTTAGATCACAGCACTGAAGAAAATCAAAATAAATCAACATAGCAGAAGTTAAATCCTGAGTTTCCTTCTGCTGTGAGGTAGCCTGTACTAAGGGTTTAAAAGTTTAAAAATCTCCGAAGTTTTGAGAGTCTGCCAGTGTAGACAGCACTCTGAAGGGTTGGGTCTAAAATGCTCCAAGGAGCAAGTAATTATGAGCCTTTATTGACACTACAAGCGGCTTTCCGGGAGCCTTTCCATTTTATTGAAGTCTAGGCAAATCTTGCTTGCCTTAATGCATTCCTGGTACACTAACTTCTCAGCTAGCAGCAGAGAGAAGAATAAAACTGCTTCTTATTTAACTCAAAGGGAACTGGAAAAATGAAGGAGGGGATCTCTTGTGTCGATGCATAAGAAAAAAAAAATTATAAAATGAGAAATTTTACTGTTTATCCAAGGGCAATGATTTCTTTTTAATAGGTAAAATATGTAACTTTTTTTTCAATTTTTCTTCTCACAAGTACCTATTAAAAAGCTCATAGATTTTTTTTTCTGTATGTATTGACCTCTTATGTTTTCATCCATAAGTACCAAATATAATAAGCTTTCAACCAATAGTGATCTTGGTAAGTTCTAACTTTAATTAGAATACAGAGTCAAACATGTAGTGTAATTTTTGAGAAATTGGGAGAACCCTATCATAATTTTTAATTTACTCTGTTTGGCTCATATAAATTTACAACATATTTCCTCTGTGTTCAGTACCTGGATTTTTATCTAAGCATGGTTGTTTTCACAAGAGGTTTGTCATAAGTACTATTAATGAAATACTTTTTAAGTTCTACTATCCATTCTGAATGTCCATTGAGAAATGACTTTTAACATGTGTGGTCAAATATGCCTCAGTTTGCAAGAAAAAGTTAAACTGTTCAAATCCGCATTTTAATTGTCTGCAAACCCTTATTTTAAAAATTGAGTTTTGTTTCTAGTGCTTACTTTCTATTTCTTATCACACGACTTCTTGTGATATTAAAAATCACAATTGCAGGACTGGAGAGATGGCTCAGTGGTTAAGAGCATCGACTGCTCTTACAGAGGACCCGGGTTTGAGTTCCACACCCACATGGCAGCTAACAATCATCCACAACTCCAGTTCCAGGGGAATCTGACACTGTCTTCTGACCTCCAAGGGTATTGTATGACGTGCATAGGTGCACTTACACACATGCAGGCAATATACTCATACATATAAAAGAAAAATAAATAAATGAAATATGTTTAAAAATCACATTTTCTCACCCATAATTTGGGAAGTCCTACATTATTACCATCAGACTAACACTCCTGAGCCCCACCTTCCTGTTGAATAGTAACTACTTACTAGGGAATCTCTTCCAGTAGAGGAGAGAATGTTTAGGGTTGTAATTTTTTTAACATGAACTTCTAAGTATTCTCTCTTAGTTCTGGATTAGCCAACATTTTGTTCCCTCTCTTATTATTTTCTTAAAATTGAATGACCAAAATGAATTTATTTTTCACTGGAATCCTATTTCCATTTCTTACTATTTTTTAGTCCATCATTTTAAAATCAAAGAAGGATAATAACATGAAATATTATGGTCAAAAATCTGTTTATGTCTCTTGGAAACTGCATGCATATGTAAGTGCTTTTAATAATTCACAATAGATACCTTTGGACATTTTGTTTCAAGGTACATGGTATTATATGATGATATTTTTTCTAAAGTAAATTTTGTAAAACAGAAGATATTTTAAAAGATCTTGCAATGCTTATTATTTGTACAGTCTAAGAAAAATAATACCATGGTCATTATGATCTGGTAGGTTATTGATTAATATAGTCTGCAAAAGCCTTGCTTTCCTGAAAAGTATACTGAAATTAAATATACAAATTCACACACACACATGCACAAATGCATGAATGAATGCACGTGCACACATGCACACACACACAAGGTATTGCCACTAGTAAAATTTATTTTCAAAAAGATGATAAGAAAAGTTAAATACTGACTCAGGCGAGTGAGATGGTTTATAGGTAAAGGTGCTGATTTCCAAGCGTGATGACTTGAGTTTGAGCCCCAGAACACACATGGTGGAAGGAGAAGCCAGCTTCCTCTATGTGGTCCTCTGACCTCCACAGGAAGACACCATGCTGTGCAGACACCCAACAACCCAATATACTACCCTAAATAAATAAATGAATGCAATTAAAACAAAAACAAAAACAAAACCAGAAAAAACAGGCTTGCCTATTCTTAGAGTAGCAATTAGGTGGAGTTATGTAGCAACTGTCTTATTTCACCTTGGGAAGTTGTGTTACCCCAGAACTTTTATTACCTTCTTTTGGCTACTGGGTCACTTGCATTTCAATGTGAAAAGTAAATAATTATATTTGGAAATACAAATTTCATCCCTTGCTTATTACTACATTTAGATTGTAATATCTCAGTTTAGGGAAAGTGAATAGTTGAACAAATGAATAACTGAAGTACTTACAAAAAGAATTTGAATGTCACGTATAAAAATGCCTAATCCATCAGCAGGGGAATGTTGCACTGGGAGAATGGATCAATAGACATCTATTGGAGAGAGCCTTTGGGAATAAGAGAAAAATAATGAGTCTATTTCACATCTGACCTCAACTTCCCAACATAATATAAATAATTGATCTGTACTCTCCACTACCACAATCATAATTCCTTACTTCCCACTGAAAACGTATATAAATACCTACAGAAAGTTTATTAATAGCACATTAAGCTCATAGCCATGGTTTATGCAAACTATGACAAGTTGTATCAGTTGCAATTATAATCCTATCATTATTAACATCAGTAATTCATTTTAAAATTTTACAAGGAAGTTAAAAATGCCAGGATTTAAAAATTAATTTATGTTTATGAATGTTTTACCTATATGCATGTATATTAGTGCACCACATGCATGCACATGGAGGCCAGAGAGGGCATAAGATCCCCTAGAACTGCAGTTAGGAATGGTTGTTAGCCACCATGTGAGTACTGGGAACTGAACCCATGTCTTCTTTAAAAGCAGATACTGCTCTTAAGCACTGAGCCATTTCTGCAGCCCCGATGACAGGATATTAATGACTCTTGTATGACCTACATGTACAATTGTTAATTTTTCAAAACACACTTTGAAGAACACACAGTTCACTTTTAATATTAACAGAATGCTAAGTCTATAGTAAGTTCTCAGAAATAAATGACTATTTTAACATTACATGCAAAATTCAGTGGAAATTGACCTAGAATTGATAAGGATTTTGGAATGTGTATCTCAATGTTGTGACACCTCCATGTTTGTCCCATGGTGTTCTGAAAACAGATGATCTTTAACAGTTGCTAAAATTTCTTTGACGGTGAAATTACATACAAAAAATACCAGCAATTCTTTCAAGGTAATGGCAGATCAAGCTCAAGTAGACATTTCAAATTAGCAGTTGATTCAATTCTTCCACTAAATCTCATGGTATAGGTATCCATAATTAGGAGCTAAAGGAAATCTTAGTTTCATTTCTGTTGTTCTGATAAAATTCCTGACAAAAGCAACTTAGGGAGAAAGATTTTCTTTTACCCTACAGTTAGAGGTTAGAGTCCATCATTGTGGGGAAAGTCACAGCAACAGGATCTT